ATAGGATTACTGGCAATATGGTTCCAATAATCTCATTGCTAGGAATGTATAATACAATGTCAGGTTGACCTGCACGTGGTTCCCCCTGGAAACCATCATGACAAATTCATGGTGAATTTATCACGATGGGCTAACTGACCATGCGCATTTTATGGTCCTCCACTGGTGGCCCGACAACCTAAAATAAAAAATAAAAAAACGCACGCGGGTGCATCATTCCATAATCATCCATAAAAAAATCTTGGGTAACTTCAATAGTTCCACCAAATTCTCTTCAATCTTTTATTAAAATAGATTTATTTCAGAAGAAAATAGATTTATTTGAGTAGAAACTCATTTCTTCTTTAGGCTACCTAAAATATGCAGCGCAGTGATGGCTAGCTCATACGAATTACTTGTGAACGAGTGACGCTTGTAGTAGATTGGTCTGTTCTAATCACAACGACTGATTTAATTTTATTGTGTATTAAATTAGTGTTAGTGGTAGTTTATATTCACATATTTTGACTTAAAAATGTAAAGTTATAACGATTATTTAAAACAGCAATCCGCAAGTTACTTACTCATTCTTCTTGTGACACTTTCCGAATAAGCGGTAGGTTATAAAATTTGTGATGTCAGCCGGATTCGAACCCACAACCTTTCAGTCTAAGATCATACAGTAAACTACAACGTCACGACATTACATCAAGAAATTATCATACAAATTATAGGGAACGCCGTAGTAACTTGTTATTGCTCCTCAAGGAAATCAAAGTTATGGATTCAAGTATAAATATACTATGTATACTTATAGGTATTTAATATTCGCCTAGACTCGACGAAATTACTAAGGCTTTACGGGACTGAAACGAGTCATGATTGCTTCAAGCCTTTTACAGTGGCTCTCAACCTATATTAAACAGTTTATCAAACTTTTTACAGAGGTAAACTTAGCACAAAGTAATAATGATAATAATAATAAACTCTATATTGTACACATAGAAGAAATACGATAAGAAAAAACAATAAATAGAAAATCATGAATAAAAGGCGGTCTTATCGCTCAAAGCAATTTCTTGCAGACAACCTGTAAAATGTACACTTAAGAGGTAGATGGCACACACAAGACGCTATAAATATTAAACGAATTAATAGACATACATATAAAGTTCACACTTATTAACGCGTGTACCTCTGTCTCACTAATTTTAGCCGACAAACAGGATGCTGCGTAGGCTGTATTTAGTTTGGGATGTTGAAGGAAAGAAAGAACAAGAAATGTATTGTTAACTAACAACACAAATTTATGAAATTACAATAAAAGTACACAAATCAAATTAAATCAATTTAAATATTGATTGAATTGCTCTTTTGTAATATGGACAAAATTACACTTATTTGACAGGTTACTGTCACAGTGCTGTTATACTAAATCTATGACCTAAGAATAATATATACATACCACCAAATACAAATAAGAGTTTGAAATGAATTCATCATTATTACATAGTATAAAACGAAGTCTGTCCGTCCCTATGTATGCTTAAATCTTTAAAAGTACGCAACGCATTTTAAAGCGGTTTTTTAAAAGATCGAGTGAGTCTAGAGGCTGGTTTATATGTATAATACATGTACGCCCGGGCGAAGCTGGGGCTAGTGGCTAGTATATATATAAAATAATCGTGATTGTATGTACTTATTAATATTAAGTTGGAGTAAGAAGATAAGATGTGTGAAGATCAATTAACAAGATTGGCATCGCTCTGTTTCGGTTTAAGGCTGAGGTATGGTTGTGAACTATGGTAGTAACATTCTAGTCTCCAGAATAGCAATGCATATGTTGTGCCACGAGTGTTACATGATGAAAAAAAAGATTTACTAACTGATATAAATAATAAAGTGGTCCTAGGTGAAAGAAAAGTTGAGAACCACTGCTTTAGAAATATAAGTTTTATTTCTGCAATATAGAAAATTACACAAATATTCAAGTGTAATAGAAATGGAATATATATTTTCGCATATTTTTTATATTTCAATGGAAAATAAAATTAATTTCGATATTTTTGATGAGTTACGTCTCTATAATGGTAGAGTTTTATATTAAATAGTAATAACTTAATATTAAGTTCTGAAAATGTGTAATAAAATAAGAAATAGAATGTAACAGACTAAAATTTATTTCAATCACATAATAATGATGATGCTTACAGTGTCATATAAATTATTTTATTATATAAATTTTAATAAACATTAAAAATACATATTGTACAAATAAATAAAATTGAAGCTGTTAGTTTGTAATTAAAAACTAACAGCTTTACACGAAATGAATATCAAAATGTATACGGTACTTGCATCAAAAATTAATTTAAACAATTCTTGCCCTGTCTGATTGTTTGTCCTTGCTAATCTCTGAAACGGCTCTACCGATTTTAACGGTATTTTCAATCGCAGATAGCTTATATTTTAATGAGTAAGTTAGTCTACTTTCTTTTAGAAATTTTATTTAATTTATATTTACGCGAACGAATTCGAGGGTAACAGCTAGTTAAAGATAAAATCATTACAGAAACTAAAATTACTATATAATAAAATAGATGCTAAATACGAAAGTATGTGTCTGTCTCTCTGTTACCTTTCACTACTAAACGGCTGAAAAATGTATTGTTGCTGGTAAATTAATATGCTTAAAAAGAATAAAAATAAATTAAATTGGAGCATAGACAAAATTTCGGGTATAAAAAGTTCAGCTATGTTAAAATCAAATTCAAATATGGAATGTTTCTATTTCATTTACAATGGTTTGCTATTCTATTTGAACAGTGGTCCATTGTAAATGAACACAAAGGATCTCAACAACCGTTTCATCTCAAAAGCATTCCGGTGGGATAACAACGGATGCACTTGTGCATCTCACGTGCACATGTTACGACATGTCTCAACTTGAGTTTGTGAAATTTGATTCCTGCTCTATGATCGTTTATAATAAGATAAAGTTATCAGGTCATGCAATGCAGGTGCTACAGGTGAATGCTGGATTTTTCCCTGCACCTTCTGCAGTTGCAGAGAAAAATCCAGTTGCCGAAGACCAGGCAGACGCCGTACTTCGTGGCTGAAAAACCTCAGGCAGTGGCTTAGGATGAGCACCAGGTCTTTTTCAGGATCGTCGTGGACAAAATAAAGATCGTCATAATAATCGTCAACTCTGATTGGAGATGCCACATATAGAAGAAGAAGAAAGGCATCAGGCCGTTTGGAGTAATACCCTTGAAATTAATTGATAACTTTTTTTTCTGGAATAAAAGTTGCTATTTTCAAAGCCAGTTAGTCTATTTATACTTAATATTTAACTATTATGATGGCTTTTGTGATCTGGCGGTTTAGAATACCGCCTTTCTTGCGAAGGTCACAGGTTCGATTCCTCGTATGGTACAAGTGCCTAATACTATATAGTTTCGTATCTGTTTATTTATTAATAAACTCTTTATTGTATTGTAAAATAAATTATGAAGGAAACAAATTAGAGTGAATAGTACAAAAGGTTCAGAATGCATGTTATTAAACACAGTCCCTGGCCGTATCTGTCTGTATATTTGCTTTTGATAATCTCAAAAAGTACTTGTTGAAAACTGCAACAAAAATAATAAATATAATTTTAAAATAATTTTTTCTTTGTGGTCTCGAGAGTATAATCGTGTTTTGTTTTCTTCCTAATATTTTAACACAGCAGATTATATTACAATTATTATAAAAATCTTATTAATATTATGAACGCGGAAGTTTGTGAGTGTGGATGGAAGTTTGTTACTCTTTCACACAAAAACTACTGGATGGATTTTAATGAAACTTTACAATAATATAGCTTATATATCAGAATAACACATAGGCTATAAAATGTACGCAGGAACAGCTAGTATAATTTAGAATCAAACGAACTTACCTAGTGATGTTTGATATCTAATTATACGAGTGTCTTGACCGAAGATGATTACTGATTACATGCAGCACGCCAGATGATGCTGTCCTTATCACACTATTTTTAGATCATTTTAAATGCATTGATCGATAAAAATTAAATACAATCGATTAAAAAGTATCTATTCGATGACTCAACTCCCCACTCTTGGCCTCCCTACCTTATTAGTCTACAAGCGCCCGAACCTCATTCCTTCAGAGCCCAATTTTTTCGATATACACAGGGAAGAAATTAAGGGAGGGTGGGAGTGTAATCATCTTCGGTCAAGACACTCATATAATTAGATATCAAACATCACTAGGTAAGTTCGTTTGATTCTAAATTATACTTCGTATCTCTCCCGAAGATGATTACTGATTACATGTAGATGTTTAGAGCATCGAAAAAATAAACCACCTAATTAAGCAAATGATTTATTTCTTCTTGGTATTTATTAGAATATATATATATATATATATAACAATATAAAAGAAAAAGCATAAGTTACATTTAAAAAAAAAAAAAAAAAAAAAAATTATGTCCTAAATACAGAATCAAATAATTCGTTAGGAACTGATTTTAATACGTTTCTGTTATAATATTTAAGGAAAACGTTTGATGATTCAGACCAGCCTGCTGCTTTCCGGATTGCATCAAGACTAACGCCTTTATTGTACGCAGCAGAAGTGGATGCATGGCGCGTGCTATGAGCGCCGTACAATTTAATATCTATTCCACTTTTTTCTAATATTGCCTTAACCCAATGAGATAAAGTTTGTGTAACTACCTTCTTGTGCGGTTTTTGAAAACTTATGAATAAATATTCCTCTTGATGTCGTAATGGGGATGTTCTGTCTATGTAAGTTTTTAAACAAAGGGCTGGACATACTTTAGGGTTTTCTTTGATGTATGGTAATACTATAAAGGGTTGGTAAGTTCCAGGTCTTGAAGTTTTTATTAATTCATCAATTTTTATTTTTATTTGATTTGAGTCAATTAATATATTCTGAATTTTAATCAAGCTTAAAGTCTGTATTCTTTGTGCCGATGCTAAAGCAAGGAGCGTTATAGTTTTTTGTGTTAAATCTTTTAATGAAATTAATTCATTAGGGAAATGAACAGCTAAGTAATTTAGTACTAAATTAGGATCCCAAGTAGTATCATATTTTGGTGCAGGAGGTTTCATACGGTATACACCTTTTAAAAGCCGCTTGATTAGATGGTTGCAAGTGATATCTTGACCTAACAGTATGGACAATGCTGAACGATAACTATTAAGTGTGCTATAACTGGCACCGTCGTAATATTTTTGCGTTAAGAATTCAATCAATTGTATTATATCAGCATGAGAATAATCAAAATTTTTATCCTTACAATATAGCCACCATGATTTTAGTGCTGTGTTATATTGAACGAGCGTGTTATTAGAGAAAGAGCCCATCATTATGTCGAGAGATGCGTTCGGGATTCCGCGTCTCACCAGCGACTGCCTGATAATATCCCTGCCATTAGGATCAGGTCCGCACATAGAGGATGCAGCTCCCTGGAAGGAGATAGCAATAAATTGTCGTTAGGTTGAAAATATAAGACTTCAGATATTAGTAATTGGTTCCATATCGGGTACCAGGGTTGAGTCGGCCAATATGGTGCCACAACTATCCCACTTGCTATATCACATTTAATCTTACGTAAAACTTTGGAAATTAGACTAAAGGGTGGAAAGGCATAGAAATTTAGGTTATTCCAATTAAACGTGAACGCATCTATTATTTCTGAGTTCGGATCCAATTTCCACGAAGCGTATCTCTTACATTTTTTATTTTGAATACTAGCAAATAGATCGAATTCAGGGTAACCGAGGGAAAGCTGTATCTCTTCGAAGGCATAATGAGCTAGTTCCCACTCAGTATCATTATTGAATGATTTACGAGATTCTAAATCAGCAACTATATTTTCCTTTGATTTGATGTAAGAAGCAAAAATATGCAAATTACGTTTTTCACACCATTGCCACATACCGCGAGCAATTTAATTCAAATGTGGAAATTGTATGCCGCCCATTTTATTTATATAGGCAATGGCAGTAGTATTATCCACTCTCAATAATATATTACAATTACTATATCGCGATGCGAATATTTTAAGGCCATAGAATGCCGCTAATAATTCTAAAGTATTTATATGTAATAATAGCTGAGAACTATTCCAGAGTCCGTGGGCTGTTTCGTTATTGCACGCTACGCCCCAACCCGTATTTGAAGAGTCGCTAAATATTACAACAGAATAGTCGCAACTTTGAAATAAAGAAAATGAGGAGTCTATGTGATCTCTCCACCATACAAAATCCTCTTTTAGATGTTTTGATAGAGTGATATATTTATTGTAATTATTAGAGTAATTAAGTGCTAGGAATTTATCCCGTTCAAATAATTTTGTATAAACCCATCCATAAGTCACTGCTGGACATGCGGAGGTCAATAAACCTACGTAACTAGCGAATTCTCTTATTTTACATTTTTTTGTTTGTATTAATTTATTTGTAAACATTTTTATGCGTTTTTTCTTTTCATCGGGTAATGTTAGACTCATATTAATTGAATCAAAAATGAAGCCTAAAAATAAACATTTTTGCTTGGGTACAGTTTTACTTTTATCTTCATTAATTAAAAATCCCAATTTAGAAAGTATATATTTAGTAGTTTTTAAATTATCAAGACAGTTATTAAATGAGCCTCCAATGCATAAAAAATCATCAAGAAAATTTACGGATATAAAACCTAATGAACGTAAATAATGTAACACGGGTTTTAAAAGTTTAGTAAATACATAAGGTGCAGTACATAGTCCAAATGGCAGTACATTGAATTCAAACAGTTGATTTTTATATATTTCAGAATTCCAAGTAAAACGAAGGTAGATATTATCGCTTTTGGCAATGGGGACTAAAAAATAGGCATCTTTCAAATCAAGCGTGGCCATAAAACAGTCTTGGTCTATTAATTTTAATGCGGTGCGATAATCCTCCATTTTGAAGTGCTTAACAGATATAAATTTATTTAATTCCTTTAAATTTAAAATAAATCTGTGTTTGCCATTAGGTTTCGGGACTGTAAAAATAGGTGAAATAAATTGATTTTTACATGGGGAACAAGTCGAGATATAACCTGACTGTAATAATTCCGTAATACTCTCATCAATTATGTTGATTTCAGTTACCGTATATGATTTAGTTTTAACTATCTGATGTGGGTCACAAAAGAATGGTATTTTATAACCTTTAACCCAGGACAAAATATTTTTATCACGTGTTATTTTAAGCCATTCATCAAAAAAGTACTGAAGTCTGCTAGCAGTTGGTACAATTGTTTTTGTAATATGTACCTGTGATAAAGTATTCAACGTCGTCGAGTCTGTTGTGGGTAAGATCTCGAACGCTGCGTCGGCGGCGGCAGAGCAGTGCGCCGGTCGCGTGGCCCCCGAGCTGGCGGCGGAGGGGGCTGTAGCGGCGGCGCCGGCTGGAGCGGTACCGAGTGCCGAGACTGGCCGGGGTACACTCGCGGCTCGGCATACGTTGTCCGCGGTGCCCCCCGTGCGTTTAAAGCCCCCTGGCGAGTTGTTCTTGGCTGCGAGCGATATTGACTAGATCTGTTGCTAATTTGTGTGGTGAATCTTAATTCCGATGCTGACGTTGATATGACCTTAGATGTTTTTAAGTGTTCAGATAAATTTGACCCAAATAAATATTCATCTATTTTTGTATTTTTTATTATTTCACGTTTTTGTTTACTTATGGAATTAACAATAGTAAACCTTCTCGAAAGGGATTCTCTGTAGTGAGTGTCAAACAGTAAGCGCCCTGCATCGCTCAGAGTTTTAATAATTTCTTGTGGGGTATTTTCCACTTGTGTCAAAGCTAAGTTTAATGCTTTGCCAATAGCCGAGATGCAGCTAGACATTTGATTTTGTTTTTGCTCACTGTACGAGTCCTTTTTTAAGCTGGTATCGGACAATGCCGACTTCAACTCCGGGTTTAGTACCGGTGCTTTCATGGGGATACAATTTTCTGCGGGTAAATATTCTTTTAAAAGATTCGCTTTTTCTTCTTTAGGTATCCCGTTGGTTAAAATATGTTTCCATCTCATAGCTAGATCTTTATGTAAATTTTCACCAAAGGTTTTATCTTGTGTTGGATCTGACCCTAGTAACTGTAATATGTCTGGGTCTAATTCATCATTTTCCTCTATCATTTGATCATTTTCAATTAGGATCTCGTCTGTAATGACGTAAAAATAACATAATAGGTAAAAATGAAATTTGAGATGCAACGGTTTTTGTCTATACACGCTTTGCGTCAAGACTCGATATGTTATTGTTATAATAAAAATATTATAACAAAATAATATATAAATATTATAAAATCCACACACATATATCGGGATTTATTTATACAACATCCACACACTAAAAGTCGGGATATGAATAACTACCACACACGATTGCGTCGGGTAGATTTATATAAATGTACCGTCAAATAAAACAGATAATATTCTTTGTTTGATATTCATTTTAGAGAATTGTTCTTACCTTGAATTATTGGATCACTGGCTTCGTTTTCGATATTTGAATTTATTTGCACAGGAGTTGACGAACTATTTTCTATAGTGATATTTTCCGAATCCGATGATGACAAAATTCTTCTTCTTGTTCTCACTAACTTTTTAACTTTTTTTAACAACCGTTCTACTTCATGACTGTCACCTCTATCTGACCGCTTCCTTTTTCCCATTTTAACTTATTTTTGTTGGAAGAGACGTGTGACTCGGACAACACAAAATCGCGTAATGAGGTTCGGGCGCTTGTAGACTAATAATGTAGGGAGGCCAAGAGTTGGGAGTTGAGTCATCGAATAGATACTTTTTAATCGATTGTATTTAATTTTTATCGATCAATGCATTTAATATGATCTAAAAATAGTGTGATAAGGACAGCATCATCTGGCGTGCTGCATGTAATCAGTAATCATCTTCGGGAGAGATACGAAGTATAATTAATACTAGTTGTAGTATAAGTAATCCCAAATAAGTTTATTCACAAGTTGGTGTTTTTAATGATCACATACAAGTACATACACACAAACAGATACACATAGGGAAAGGGAAGGTTTAGTACTATGGACCCCATTACTAGCAATGTACCATGTCAGGTTGAACTCCACGCGGTTCCCCCTGGAAACCATCGGAATAAATTCCAGGTGAATTTACCTGACCTTATGCTCATTTTATCATCCTCCGCTGGTGCCCGCCAGTGTAAACCGTTAGCGCAGGCGGGTGCACCATTTCATTATCATATAAAAAAATACACACACTACTAACTTACTCTCGCTGGCTAGTAGATAATATAAAGTTGCAAACTGATTCTGCTCATACTGACTTGGCATTTGTTTTCAAATTATTATTTATTTGTACAGTTATTAGAATAGCTGCTGATGTCAGAGCAATTACGCAGTTGTGCCAATTAGCTCTAATTATAAGTCGAGAAACTGCCAAAGTAGCCGACTGTCTCACACAAAAGAGATGTATTATGTACAGTAAATTACTGGACTATTCATTTATACACTGTTGCAACTGATATAAAAAAGGAATTATAGAAGATTGCTGCTGGCAGCTTGTCTACATTTCTTTTTTTAACTGTGTATTTTTGATATCTGTATTTTAATATGTCAGTTTTGACTACTCATAAATTTATTTATTTATCAATCAGCAATTTATGATTCATCATAATTATTTTGATTTTTAATAAAATAGTAATTGTGTTCCCCTTTAGTCACATTTGGAGACATACTCCGACGGCCACAGAAAAGGCAGGTCAAGTTGCCAGTAGACTTTCAGTAGGATGTGACTATATCACAGGAGGGTGGGATGTTGCTGGCAGCTTGTCTACCATCATTTTTATAAACTACAAGTCTTTTCTCTGTGCCCTTTTGGGAAATACATTTATTACAATTATTAAAGACTTTTATTAATAGTCGTTGTGTTCCCGCTCCAGTCACAAGATGATAAATTATCATGAGATCGTGATGATCGAAATGTCGGGAATTCAATAAAAATAAATAAAATATGATGATTTTCTTAATTTTATGTACATCATCTGGTAGGGCAGCCATCATAGTCCTGTAACTGTAGCTGTATGTTTATAGCAACGATTGCCACTTATCACTATAATAATATTATATAATAACCCTGGACAATTCCTACAGCGCCATCTAGTCTCAAATTAAACTTATTAGGCTACTAGACACTGATATAAATACTTTGATACATTTTTTTGTAAGTGCCATCATAATATACATAGAAAACCACATTTACAAACGATTATACTCATGAATATTTGATTCAAACTATCTTTATTCGTCTGTTACAGACTCTTATGATATATCAAATCTACCGTCAGTTCGGAATGATTTCGAAGTGAGAAGAACTGACAAGAAACTCAGCTCGTAATTTTTTAAATATGGTTGTACAAGTTTACAATAATTCAGATTGCTTTTTAAAATTTCAAATTCAAATTTGGGAGAATAGAGTGATCATCAGTATAAATGTTTCAAAATAAATGTTTGTACCGTAGGTATGGCATCGAACCCACGACCATCAGTGTGTTAAACCGTTAGACTACCGAGACCATATCTAAGATATATAAGAGACTAAGATAACATATCATAGGTTGGCCACTAAGTTTATTTATTTCATTTATTTATTCAATTAATACAACATAAACTTACAGCTAACACGTTTATATATTAAAACTATTACTATATATATACTTAACTATATATAATGTATACACTACTTAACTATATTATGACAGGTTATTTATTACAGAAGGCAAGGCTTCTGTTTACACGTCAGCATCTTGGACTTTACCCAAAAAACTTTAAAAGTTGCATGTTTGTCATTACAATTGTATAAAAAAGAAATTGAGGTAAGACGTAATTGGTATTCGACCCTAAAAGAATACCGCCTCAATCTAGATTGGTAACATTACAATTGATCCATTCATCATTCGATATGCCGTGGCCTTGTCCTATTATTTAGATGGTCGAATAGAGTGCCGAATTGTATTCTTAAATATTGCCATTGCCACTAAATCTGCCTGGAAAAATATTTCGTATAAAACACATCCTTTGTGAAAAAGCATACTATAAAATTGAAGAGTTCATTAACGATAATAATGTTTTTGTAGAAAAACTTAAAATTCATAGCGCTGACAATATTATCTGATTGCACTAAGAATGAGTGCGTAGCGGTTTCTATGTTGATTATCGCATGCCTCTTATTTGTTATTGTGTAATTATTTAAGTATAAAAAAACATTTATTTAAAAGAGCAACACACTAGTTTCTTGCTCATTATTCTTTCCGAATAGATATTAAATTAATTTTAATACACGTTATACATAAGTAAAAAGTACATGTGGCGAACTTAACACCTAATGGCATTTTTTACCAGTCAACCTTGAGTTGCGCAGAGATAAGTTGTTGGCAGCGCAAATAATATTATTAAAATAATAATTTAATAATTAACCAATAAGTAATAAAATTTGTTTATTGTTTAATTAATAATTTCCTAGTGTATTTCCTAGGGGGGGAGGGTGTGCAATTTTAGAAAAGCTGAGGTGGGGAATGCACTAAAAAACCTGGGAAACAGTAGACTACAGTTTTTTTTTTAATTCATAATGTTGACTATATTATCTGATTGCACAAAGGATGAGTGCGTAGCGGTTTTCATTACGATTACCGCATGCATGCTTGTTAATGCATATTTGTTTAAAAACAAAATTTATTCAAAAGAGCAACCCGCTGTTTGCTTTATGATTCTTCTTGTGTGACTGTTCGAAAGTTTATTTGAATAAAGACTATATCTATTGTACTCAACTATTGTAGTTACGTCGTCGAGAATTAGCCACGATGGACTAACTGACTTGATTTCCACCACATACTGTTATCTCCAACGGGTGCCGCAGCAGCATATATTTATTTATTTATTAAATCTTTTATGCACAATTTTTTTTTTATAATCTACTATGGTGGCAAGCAAGCATACGGCCCATCGTATGGTAAATGGGTACCGTAGCCTATGGACGCCTGAAGCACCAGGGGTGTCACGTGCGCGTTGCCGACACTAAAGAAACCTTAATATACCCTTCTTGAAAAACCCCATGTACAGCAACCCCATGTAAGTCTCGTGAGAAAACCTCGGCAGGAAGTTCATTCCACAATCTAAGTGTGTGTGGCGGACTTAACAGCACGAGGTATTTTCTCCCAGTCAACCATTGGGCAAACAAAGATTTATGTGGGCAGTGCATTAAAAAAAATGTTTTCTATTTAAAATAACAATGTAAAACAACTATGATTATAAACGAGTCTAGAGCAGGTAGGTAGAATGTATATAAAAAGATCTTAGTCTCTTCTCCATCTATTTCTTTTTAGATCTATAATTCTAAATCCTTAATACTTAATAATATTATAAATGTGAAAGTAGGGATGTTTGTTACACTTTCACGCAAAAACTACTGAACCAAATATCATGAAATTTTGTACACATATTCCTGGAGGTATTAGAATGAACATAGGATAATTTTTCTGTTCAATGCGAGCGAAGTCGCGGGTAAAAGCTAGTAATCCTTTAAAGACTATGCTATACCAACACATAACAAGATTACTTTTCGACTCGGTCCCTTTTAAGAATCTGAATAATCTGCCAACTACTTATGGCCACAAAAATAACACATTTGTGATTGGACGCATAAAAAAACATGGCTTTTTAAAAAAAATACACATTGATGTATTTAAATGTATTTATCAGAATTATCAAATTTACTGCGTTAGTTACGCAGAGCACATTTTCGTACCATTTTTTTCGTATTAGGTATTCTAAAACTGTTCATTGTTATACAAATCACATAATAATAATCTAGGACTATTCATATAGCGACATCTTGTCCCAAGCTCAACAGTTATTAAAATAACTCTAATCTCATTTAGTTAATGTTGTATTATTGGTACTAGGCGTTTGATGAATTTATTTTATGTGAATACGTACGAAGTATATATAGAAAACACTCAGACCGATACAAACAATGAATACAAATGTTTGTGCCAAGGAATCGAACCCGCGACCATCCAACAGCTAGACCACCGAGTCCATCATTATATGTAACAATATACAATGGGTACCTATATCAATGAAGTAAAAAGTTGATTTGGAATTAGTATCCATGATATCGTATAATTATCTTGCACTAGTATAGTAACTACCTGCTATGGTAGTTCACATAAGGTACCTATACAATATTGTGTGAACCATTTTCTATGTTCCCAGCAGTAATTGGCCATAAACTTCAATAGTCTATGCACGTAATTATTAATTTAAAACCTCATTATTTTGTCTCATCCCACGGGAATGCTTCCCAAGAAAGGCTTGCCACAATAGCTTTTAAGCTTCTTTAAAACAATGGCATGCCGCCGTCCTATTCCAACGTCTATACAAATATAGAGACCAAGCGATCCTACTTTCTCAACTATGCACTATTGTTCAGAAGATGCGCTTTTGCTCTGCAAACTGAATATAAAAATTTCACGGTCCAATCATCTTAATGTCGAACTATATCCGTCTTGCTTCCGCACGATACTCGGTTAGTGCTGTCTCGTTCTATTTGGAATACCAGACGCAGCGTTGATATCGACGCAGCCTTATCAGTGGTACGCATTCAAAGGAATGTTATTGCTTTTATTTTTGTGATACAGTTGGTTTTTGATTGCAGTCATCTCGCCTCAGAGGTTGTTCACATACCTGAATGGCCGTAGCTCGTAGTATTCGAGAATGGACCGCTCACATTCAAGCTAACAAAGTCAGTGTCGCATTTGAACTCGTCGACGTAAGTCGTGTTTTTGTCGAATTATTACACGAAACCGGCGTCCGCGTGTGTTTCGCTATCGAAAGTGATTACCGAATGATTCACATATTTTAATCTTACTAAGTGAAGTTTAAAAAACATGTGTGTTAATTAGGTGTATTGCCATAGTGGGTATTCGCTTTTGGATTTACCGAGGTATGTGAACTATTTTTTTTTAATAATAATTATTGAAGAACGGATACGGCCGATTTGCTTTCGGTATGCAAGTGGAACCTGTTTTTTGTCCGGTGAACCGTGGGAAGGTTTCTATTTGCAATGCGTCGATCACGTGCATTGTTTGCATTTTGTTTTTATATGCATTTTTTTTTTATGTATTCGAAATTCAAAATTAAATTAGTAGCCAGTTCTTTTTTAATTTGTAAGATCTATGGATTATGATTGCCTATTTTATTCATTTCTTTGCCAATTAATTTCTTATAAGTCATGTTCATCATTTATAGTACCCACAAAATAATGAAATAATACATATCACTTACATTGTTTATGATATACGAATATTACATACTTGTTAATAAACATGGTAATATTGTAAACTTTATTAAAAATAAATATATTCACGGCTGTAATCGCAGATAAGGTAGTTATGATTATATTTAGTAGATATTATGATAAAACTGTTTAATTTAGTATCTGGTGGGATATTTATCCTACCTACCTGTCTAGAAGCGATTTAATTAATAGGTGATACTTTTTTATAACTATCAAAGCCTGCACTCCGCCCTAGGCTACATATTTTAAACAATGATCTAAAGGTTGGAGGAGATAATTATTAATGAAGACTAATGATTTAATTGCTAGCAATGTATAATAGTATCAGGTTGACCTCCACGCGGTTCCACTTGGAAACTATCGTGATAAATTTGTCACGATGGGCTAACAGACCTGACCTCATATTCATTTTATCATTTTCCACTGGTGCCCCGCCAGCGTAAACCGTTAGTGCAGGCGAGTGCACTATTCCATAACCATTCATTAAAAAAAATATAATACTATATCAGTTCGTTTCTACGTGGAGACAATTTCTTGGTAAATTCACCACGATGGTCTAACTTATCTGACATCTTCCTCATTCCAATTCTGGTATAGCAGATCTAACCTGACGGGGCACTAGTCGAGTATGATGACAGCCGTTCAGATTAGCTTGATTTTCGATGTTTCTATCACCGGAGAGTTAGTCAGAAGTATTAGTTTTTTTTCATATCAGTCAGATTTGAAGTCATGATCTTTCGGATTGAAGTCTGCCATTAGGTTTCGACGCGCAACGTTGTTTTACATGTATTGTTTAAAAATAGACTATTTACAATGATTAAGCGTAAGTACTACTATGTATGTACAATTTTGTACGACGCAGTCTTGTCTATCAAGTAGGTGTAATATATTATCTGTGGTCTTTACCTCGAAGCTAATAAAGTAACACCATGACTCATGAAATTATGCGCCACAGTTGCAATATTATCCTTATTTTGTAAACCATTTGTTTTTTATGTTATTGGAATGGAAACAGGCTGATTGGCCACCTGATGGTAAGTGATAACCGTGGCTTATATAAATGAACAGCACCACGTATTGTTAGTGAGACGACTCATGCGTTGGTATTCCGAAGGTCTAAGATGTCATGCCTTGTATCCTGTAATTTCACAACCATTAAGAAACACAGCTTACAAAGGAAGTTGTTTGGTGGCTGAAATAGGTGAGACTGAGCTACCCACGCAGTATATAACTAACAGAACTAGTTATGTTTGTTATATTACTTACAGTTACCAGTATCTTTTTTATTTTTACCTTCTTATGTACGTCATAAGTGTTCTTATTATTGCAACTCGAAAACAGAAGTTCGTAAATTGTTCTGTGTCACAATTCGCATTGCTAACTTTATTAAATGTTATTGCAAATGTTGGATTGAATTTTCCCAATTTGCATAATTTTTTTTCTTTTCAATCGTTTAATGCAGAGGAGAGAGAATTCCCAAACTTTTTTTGTGTCTTTTTTTGTGTTTGATATACTTAACACTGACGATTTAATTAAACTAGTTATCTCCTAATGCTCTATATTCGACCATTATTAATTTAAATCAGAGATTACGAAACTTTTTTGTGTCATAGACCCCTTGCCATATTTTTCGGTTTTGGGTAGACTCCCCATTCTTACCTGGTATTGATTTTTTGTAAATTTCTAACTGTATTAAAGTTTAGTGTTAAAAAAATTAAGTTGTTGTTTTTAACAACAAGATGACCGCTCTCTTAGACCTCATGAAGTTTGTCATAGATCCCTGGGGTCGATATATACCACTTTGAGAATAGTTATTCTCAAAGTGGTTTAATGGTTTAATGCATTAGTGATGTTGTTAGATAGAAATTGTAGTTTACAGTGTTGGTGGTACAACAAGTATATTGAAAATTCAAAATATCTTTATTCATGTTGGTCTATTACAGAGTCATGATACGTCAAATCTACCGTCAATTAGGAATGATTTTGAGGTGAGGAGAACTGACAAGAAACTCATCTCGTATTCTTTTCAAATAAATGTTATATATGTTTATAATAATACAGATTCATTGGGAGAATAGGGTGACCACCAGCATATGCTATTGCAAAAGCAAATAGTCTAATCAGTGTTCGTAACTCGAACAGACCAGTCCCGCACACGTAGCATAAGCAGCACCCGTTCACGAGTATGATATACATGTACACTGTATCTATTATTAATAAAGTAATTTACATTGTTCATACTGTTTGTCGATGCAAACAAAATAGAAAAATTTAGTAGTTACTATTTAACTAATTGAATATGTTCCCAGTCATAATCTTAGTTGGTCATTGACCTGTCGTAGATATTTTTTTCAAGGTTCAGTTTTCAACGAATGATAGTTATCATTGATGATAATCTTTAGATTATTATAACGTTATAGATTAGCTAAGTAAAGTATGTTATTTTTTACAATGACAATTAAGTATGACATATATACATGACATAATACATGTAGGCATTACCATTTTATTTTCTTACATATTGGCTTACTTTTGTTGTAAATACTTTCTTTTCAAAGGTTGTCTAAAAGAGATTACATTAGCGATAAGACTCGTATTTAGTTTTATTTTTAACTATCTACCCGCCCTGGCTACACACGGGTATACATGTATTATACATATATATAAACTTCCTCTTGAAAGACTATCTATTGCAAAATCTGCTGAGTAGTTTAAAAGATCTAAGCGACCAGACAGCGGAAGCGACTTCATTTTATACTATGTAAAGATCTTTTAATTTTTTTAAATCCTTTCAATGTTGGTGTAATAAAATTATAAATAATATTTAGTATTAATAGGTACAAGTGGGCCAATAGGACTATTGGTGTCAAGTCAACATATGAAAACCATCGTGGTTGACTTAAAACAGACCTGACTTTATGCTACTTCTATCATACTAAACTGATGCCCTCCAACTCTACCATTCATCACCATACAAAAAAGTATTAAGTACTTTTGTATGATTCATTCATACAAAAAAATATTGGGTACTTTTTTACGACGATGATTCAAAAAATATATCATTGCAACCAAAAACGGAAATGTTTCTCCGAAAATAATTGACAAATTCATTTTCATTTATTTTATCGTTTAAAAAACATACATATTACTGGGGCATTGAATTTATATTCAATTGTAGGTCCATTATAAAGTTAAATGTCTGGTTGGTTACTTGTTTGCGATATCGACTCACTGAAGATAGGAACATTCAGATATCATTTGCACCTAATTTGTTCCAACCGAGCAAATATACGAGATAATAGTTCCTTCTTATCGCAGTTATCGCAACTGACATGGATTTTACGGTAGTCAGTTCTGTTAGGTCAGGTTATTGACTAACTTCATAAATGAAAAAGGTTTTAAGTTTTTTTTTTTTTTTTTCGGACTATTCTAATGCTGCTGGCCTTTACAGCTTCACGGGACGTTAGGGGCGACTGCAGATGATACACCAAACTCGCGGAAGGACTTATGGAGCGGCTGAAGGCCTACTCCTGCCTGATGGATACGACTTTAGTCTGAGGGCACCACTAGGGGTTCGAACCTCGGCTCGGGCCGTCGTAATATCGATCCTTGTTTGAATTGTACGGGGGATCGATCGGAGGGGCGGATTTAAGTTAACGTTCTTGAAAATGTATGTTTGTTGACAGCCTCGGTAGTATAGCGGTTTAGCACACCGCTTTACATCAGATGGTAGCGGGTTCAATTTCTCGCACGATGCAATCATGAGTATGATTGTTTGTATCGGTCCGAGTGTTTTCTATATATATATCTAAGTATCTATTAGTTAACTAGGATCCATAATACAAGCTCTGCTTAACGTGGGACTAGATGGCGCTGAGTTAATTGTCCAGGATTATTATTATTAATATTTATTTAGTTTTCACCAAAGTTTTGAAGCTGTGACCAAATAACATATCATAATGTTGTGAAATATGTATTAAAACATGATTCATTCGATACTTTGTACATACAATCAAAATAAAAATAGCAACAGGATGAAATATTTTGTGGTGAGAATATTTCCTTCATGTATTTTGGTCGTAAGAGACTGACTCCAGTTGTAAGAGAGGAAAAGTAAAAAACAAAAATATATTATTTCGTGTACCTATACATCGTACTTATTCTGAGCCGTTTATGTTTCGTTTTAGTAATTTTAATTGTAACAGTACAACTTTTATAAAAAGGAATAAAATAAATACTGCATATATTGAAAAATTGATTTGTATTTTGAGATGTATTGGAGGTTGTTTAATAATAATGGTATTTTTGAAAAGGACAGAACCAAACAGTTATATTTACATTATTACATATGTAACAAAGCTTATAGTTAATTACATTAATAATTAATTTTTAAACTATACTAGATTTTTTAAAACTTGTTGCGTGAACCGTTCATACATTTACAAATTAATGTAGTTTTAATTAAGACGGCCTCGGTGGTCTATTTATTTAGTACACCGCTTTACTTCCGATGGTCGCGGGTTCTATTCCTCACACGGTGCAAACATTTGTATTCATGAGTATGTTTTTTTGTATTGGTCTGGGTGTTTTTTATGTATATTATATATGTATATCAAAAATAAATAAAATATCTAATTATATACGAG